GATCGATTACATGTGCTATATTCATCCGTTCAAAAATTTTCCAAATGCCTGGGGCAGTAAGAAGGGAAAAGGTCTAGAATTGGATATAACTAAAAGGATTAAACACTTGTCGAGGACGATCTAAGGTTTACCAAAGATTGGGTGCTCAAGGATAGTTGGATGTATAGTATTAATTCTGGAAGGACCATATTGACATAATCTGTAAGGATGTAGCTCTTGTTCAGTAGTGACAGTCAAAATGGAATCTGGAAATGTTTCAAAGTTAGAAATTATTCAATCTGTATGAGATTAGGAAACTTAATGCAAGAAGGATGTTTCCAAGGAGCTGATCTCCTTTGGAATACTTTGTAATGATTGGTGCCAAGTTTTTGTGAATTTGTGCATAATCATTACAAGAGGGTCAATGCATATAAGTTTAGAATCTAACAGATTTCAGTAAATCGCATGACTTTGGAATTCTTGCATTTGCAGTAAGGATTTCAGACTGTGAAAAGAGGATCATTGGAGTTATGTTCAATTGATCTAGTTCACAAAGTAAAGATTATAGACAAACATTGTATGCATACTTGGTGTATGGCATGACTAGTGTTTAGAAAACATAGTGTACATGCTTGGAGCATGGGACAACTATTATTTTAAATTCAAGAATAAAGTTGATAGCTGCAACAGTATACAATGAATAATGTGTAATCATATGGTGATAAATAAAAGGTGTTCTATTTATGTTCATAGGTTTTGATACCATATTGGATTCAATTATTATTGTGTTTCATTTTGCATGTTTTGACTTCCAGAATAAACTAGGTTATTCATTCGTAATGACTAAGTTATTCAAACCATCCACAGTCGGTCATATGTTGGAAGTAGATATGAATTAAGGCTGTCATGGGTTGGCTTGTAGAGGTCTAAGATGCTCGACAAAGGGCTACAACACTCATGAGTGCTCATAAGTTCTGAGTATTGGATTCAACCCGCGCTCATTGGAATCACTTCATGGATTTTATCACGAGTGATCATGAGATGATAATATCTTATATTCTTCAAACCTAGAGATATGAGTTGTTACTATGAGTTGGTTGAACATTGATTGCACAAAAACGCACTCGGTAACTCGGTGTTATAAAACGTGCCTTTGTAGGTGATTCAACAAGTAGTAGAACAAGCAATATGAGTCGAAGTTTATCCATTCCTTTTACCTTCGAGATAAAAGCGATATCTGTGGGCCCCTCGATGATTTAGCGATGACACATGTGAGTGCTTGGCCAAGCCAGGACTGATTTGATTTGTTAAATCAGTCAGTCATCATGAATCGGAAATCGGGAAACAATAAATGGACAAAGAGAATGATTATAATCCATGTCTCAGTCCATATGATATCTATAATAGAGGAATATATGATCCCTTATCTAATGGACAAGTTCGTTGACAAGATCAGAGTTCAACAGCGGCTTTAAGAGCGATGCTTGCCAGTTAGGTTTTGAAGTCATACTCAATAATAGTTTTAGACTTATCCAAGTGGGAGACTGTTGGATTAATGTCTGAGTCCATAACTATATTTGGTATGTATTTGACCCGACCCAGCATGGTCCATTTGGGTTGCACTTCACCAACACAATTTACATGGATAGTCTTTTGAGAATAGTATATTTATGATTAATATTAATATATTATAAATTCTAATATATTAATATGGAATCATGTTATTTAATTAGTATTGATCAAGAATTAATTTAGAATTAATTAAGTGATAAAAATGAACTAATTAAATATGGACTCTTATATATATATATATATATATATATATATATATATATATATATTATATATATATATATATATATATATATATATATATGGAACGGGCCAAGTTCGTTTAGGTTGGGCTAAGCTTTCATGGATAGTCTATGGAGTGTTTAACCCATGGATCATATGAAATGAAAGGTCATGGGTTTAACCCTAGTCTCCATACTATATAAAGATGTCATTGGTTGGTGAAATGGGCACTAGTGTGGTACACTAAGAAGGGCTAGCCGATTTCACTAGAGAGAACAAAGTATCCATATTCTCTAAAGTCTTCCAAGGTGTTTTGGTGATTTGTGATTCCACTTGAGGCTTCCACACTATTGGGGCTAAGCTCTTAAAGCTTGAAGACATCAATCTACATCTAAAGGTATGTCATCTAACTAGTACTTTGTAGTATAAGAACTTCATAATATGCTAGTTAGGATTAAAGCCTTGGAAAGTTCTTATTTGCATTTATAATAAAGAAAACATAGATCCAAGGTTTATAAGGTTGCACGTATATCATAGGAGTGTTAGAATGCTCAAAATCCAACAGAACGTACTAGTGACCACTGTGGGGTCGGCAACCGTGTCCTCATGACCTATGGCCAGAACTCTTGTCGATCCACCGGCAAACCCTGCCTTCGGGCAGTTTCTTTTGAAGTGACCTACCTCGCCACATCTGTAGCAAGTTTGGCCCACTCCAGCGCTGGGGACTTGGATGATTGGCCTCACCCGAGCTTTGTGGAAACCGGCAGTGTGTCCCTTCCTATTGCAATTTACACACTGCATTTCCCAACAGGCTCCCACATGGTGGTAGTTACATTTGTTGCAGAGCGGTAGGCTTCCAGAATACTGCTTTAACGGAGTAGCAGCAGTGGCAGGTGTTGTCGCAGCATGTACTGCCACCACCTACCTCTTCTTGGCAACCTTATTCTTTTTCTTTTCATTCCAGAATTTCCGCTTGGAGTTAGCGGTTCTTGTAGGCTCTGAGATGGCCAGGGTAGTTGTTGCGGTCGACGGTATGAACCCCATGGTCTATGAGCCACTGCGCCAATCGCTTGGCACTATCAAATGTAGTGGGGTGTGATGCCAAAACATTTCGCTGGTATGGGGGCACCAGTTCCCATATGTATCTCTCGATCTTCTTTCCCTCTGAAGGAATCATGTTGGGACAGAGGGCCACCAGTTCACAGAACCTGGCGGTGTAGGAAACTACGTTGGAGCCCTCCATGGTTAGGCCCCATAGCTCTTGCTCCAGTTTTTGGATCTCGCCTCTTAGGCAGTACTCCTCAATCATGAGGTCTTTTTTGAGTTCCCCAGCCCATATCATTAGCCACTATTAGAGATAGTGACTTAACATGGCTATTCCACAATGTTAGGGCTTTAGTTTCGAAGGTGCAAGCAGCGTACTTCACCTTGCTATCCTCGGAACAAGAGCAGATTTTGAAAACCGATTCGGTTTTCTCAAACCATTTGAGAGAGCAAAGACTCCGCCCGTCCCATTGAAGGACAATGGTTTGTAGTTCGTGATGTCCTTATAGGAGCACAGTTCGTGATGTCCTTATAGGAGCACAGTTCGTGATGTCCTTATAGGAGCACAGTTCGTGATGTCCTTATAGGAGCACAGTTCGTGATGTCCTTATAGGAGCACAGTTCGTGATGTCCTTATAGGAGCACAGTTCGTGATGTCCTTATAGGAGCACAGTTCGTAATTATTCATACGAACAATGAAGTTCGTATATTGAGACGTATATCTTTCAATTTCAGCGACTTGGAACACAAATCTCTTCAACTTTTCTGCTTTATCTTTACCAATGAAGTTCGTATATTGAGACGTATATTGAGACGTATAATGAACATATTCCACCATAAACTTATTTCTTCAATTCTTGTTGAGACTTGGATGGCTCCACATGTACTTTGACTTCAAGCCCTTTCACTGTTGCTAGCTCCACATCTGTAAGTACTAAACACTCATAATAATTCTCAAAGAAAATCTTGATGTGAGCCACTCCCAATCTTTTAGGAGAAGAGCCATTTGAATAAGGTCATACAGATTTATGAGAGGAAAATCTGCAACTGTGAAATCACAAGTCTGACCATTAGCCCTTGCAACAATGAATTTCATATTTTGCATCATATTTCAAATAAAACATCCATCTTGATGCTTATAACATTCTTGATTTTTATCACAGACCAAAATTCCTTAGGAGCCTTCATAAGAACTGCATGAAAATGAAGCTTCGTGTAGTTATAGTCATCTTCGCTCTTAAATTTATCAGATATTTTGAATTGAGGCATGAGGAAAATAATCTCATTAATTGGAAAATCTAGGTGGCTCATGTCTACATTCGAAACCAAGTAACTCTGTTTCGTTTTCTTCTCAAATGCATACATATGGTTGTAAGCCACCTTCGCTTCTATCATTTCGTAGTTAAAAAGTTTGGCAGGATCTCCTTTTTCAAACCTGGAGGATCGCTCACCCTTTGTCTCATTATGCTCTGAACTACCCTTAGCTTTTCCATCTCTACTTCTACTTCTGATTTCTTCTCTTCTTTTGATTTTTCAACAACAATTGTCTTGCCTTTGTCTGTTGATTTATCTGTAGCATCCTTTGTTTTTGAAGCTTCACCTTGACCATTAGAAGACCCAATAACAATCCTCTTTGCAATCGACTTTGTGATCGGCATGGATGTTACAACAGTTGAAGTAACTGGTCCAACACTCGAAATTGTAGGCTTAGTCGATGGAATTTTCGAAAGATAAACTTTACCCACAACCTTAGCTTCTCCCTGCGAAGCACAACCTCTAGCCTTCGCATGAGATCCTTCTCTAACTCTCTTTTCTCCCCCTTGCACCCCTGTTCGAATAGGTGGGGAACCAGTTGGAAGAAGATTCGAAATAGTAGTCAGAGGAGCTAGTTGTTTATGAGCAATTGCTTCAAAGTGGGTAAACTTTTGTGACATGAACTCAGGAGTAATTATCAAAGATGTAGCAGGCTTTAGCACCAACTCCTTCAAATCTTTAAGCGTCGAGATAACCTCCATAAATTTTTGATTGTTAGTTGCAGAAAGTTGAGTAATTTGAGGACTCAAGCTTTCATATAACGTAACATACTTCGTGACAACATCAAAAGTGATATCTACTTTCTTATGCAGAGTGGCATAATCATTATGAACAACTGTAACTTCATGAACCATGTCATCACGAATATCTTAAAGCTTCAAATATACATCTTCTCTCACCTTCTTCACATCCATTACTAACAGTGTGTGTCGTTCCTTTTGAATATTCGTTAATTCTATCACAGCTCCCACATATTTGGAATTGAAAGAATTTATCCTCAACTCTGTAGTCTGATCAGGATGATCTACCCTTTCTAGATTTCTCATCTCTGAGTCTTTAATCATACCAGACATCGTGATCACCATTCATTCCTCACAAGCCTACATCAGTCCATCAATTTTGAAACTAGACACTGAACTTCCACCTTCCATGTCTGCTTGTAACTGAGTAATTGAATTCATCTTTTTATTCAATATTTTGAATTGTTTCATATAGATGATCATATGGTCTGGGAAATCCTCCTCTTCTTCATCAAAATACAAATCTTCAAATGTACCGCCAAAGCCTCCTTCTTCATTTTCAGATCCATCGTTCGGTTTTGGTAGATCACTGGATTAAGACGAAAAAATGGATGTAATTGGTTGGTCGATGATGTTTTGAAAAGTTGGTGAATCAGCGGTGGAAGTAGTAGGGATGATAAATGGAGGTAAAGAAACAAAGGTACTTGTAATGGGTCGACAGAAACAATAACCGGAGTACCTTGTGGAGGTTAAGTAGTTTCCTTCGTTAGATCTCCTTCACCCATGATGACATTTACACCCGTATTAGATACATTTGTAGTAATGTCTAAAGTTCGTACCTCCTCATGAGATGATTTTGTAGATGAAGCTTTGGGTGGTATGACAACAGTCTTCTCAGGAGAAGTATGCTCTATAATAAGTTTAGGTTCAGGTATTTCAGGCACTTGTTCTTCTTCAGATGATTCCGTTGGAATTACTAACTACCTCTTCTTTGTCTTCTTCTTTTTCTTCTAAATCTTCTTGGCCATATCCTCAGCCCTTCATTTCTTTGAGTGAGGAGAAACTGGAGCTGGGACATCGCGGATAACTACTCCTTGATGAGTAATATGAGTCTTACGAACCACATTCGAAGTAGGAGAACCACCATACTTCAGCTTTAATCTGCAAGAAACTCTAGTCTTCGAAGGAATGGTGACTGAAGTTGGTTCTGTAACAACATGTTGAACAAGTTTTATCACAGTTTTTGAAACTACCTCATCGACCTTCGTCTTTGGAGACTTTGATGTCTTCATTTCTTTAACATTTGGTTCGGGAATGATGATCTCAGTCTTCTTTGTAGTCCTAGAGTTCTTCGAAGGACCTGCACCTTCTTTTGTTAACAACTTCCCAGTTTGAAATTTGGGATCAACTATAGTCATATAGTTGATAAGTACAGAATTCATTGGATCAACGTTTTTCAACATGGCATCTGGGATTCGTGCAACATGTGAAAAAACTTCTTTATCATCAGTCACTTCTTTTGGAAAATTAGACTTCAAAAAGTCTACTGTTTCCTCCTTAGCATCCACCAAAATTCCCCCTTTATCATAGAAATATCTGAGGATAAGACTCCAATATCGTGCACATGAAATACCTTGCACGACATTCATATTCTGTACACTCTTTTAAAATTCTTTCCGTAGCTGCATAGAGTAGTCCACCGGTATACCATAATAGATGCCTGCAACTATTTCACAGACTTCCATGCGTCCTTTATCAAGCCCAACACTTCGACATGTTAAGCATCGTAGAAAGATTCCTAACAAGAAATTCCATATCGTCGGAAGACCAGATTTTTTAAAATCACTAATCTTTGTGAGTGGGGGTTAATTACCCATCTCATTGATCATGTAGTTCACTTGATCAGTCCAAAGAGCAGTAAGCGGTTGAAAGTTTGGCATATCCAAAATTACCCCAAAGGATTGCATCTGCTTCTACTTGATAGTTTTTACCGATAATGAAGATTCGGGGTAAAAACTCTTCAAAGCAACCACCAACCGTTTACGCTTTCATCTGCTTCTACTTGATAGTTTTTACCCTGAATCTTCATTATCGGTTGCGAAGTAACATCTTCACTGGTTTGTGATGGTGCATCAACATTAGTTTGATCAGCCATCACTAGGGTTGTAAAATCATATGAAGGAAAATTGGATTTTTTTAGAGGCAATTTGGGAAATTTTCTTCTGAAAGCGTAAACTGATAACAAATGCTTGATTTCCTTTTTATATGTAACCCTGATAATTGAATTTGAAGTGGGATGTGCATTTAAAGAAATCCAACATGGCACCTTGAAACTCACACCCTTATTCTGATAAAGTAGCCACGCGTGAAAAGTAATTTTCACTTATCCTTGAAAACCGGATAGAATACAAGACGTCACTTCTCACAGCCTATTGATTTCCCCCAATGTAATATGAATCGTCAGCAACCTTCAGATGGAGGTTAGGGTCTTTCACTTTTGGGATTTAAAGCGAAGTCATATGACAAACTTTCTAAATCATCAGCCTGAGTTTGTACCACATAGAACCTCAAGGATTTCGTGAGTGTAGTGTACCAAAGATATAGATAAGAAGAAAATAAAGAAAAACTTTGGATTTGTGATGTCAAAATTATTTCGACACGATAGCAGTTAAACCCCAGGCAAAGGTTACTTCGTTAATTATCAAGAGAGATAATTAACTGCTTGTGTGCTTTCCCATAGATTACAATCTAAAAGTTATTGATTTTAAGGCTTCATGGGTGGATACACGACTTCATTACATATCATCCAAACCATAAGGTGAGAAATTGTAACAGAAATCACTTGTTTAACCAGTGTAGTCAGTGACAAGTATGCTTTGAATTAAATTTGAAAGTGACTTAGAAATCAAATGAAACTCATACATAAATCATAATCATGAAAAAAAATTGTGGTGGATCCTGTTGGGTAACAAACCATCGTGGGTTTTGATAATTTGATCAATACCACTCATATGAAATGAATATGACTTGGAGTTTCGAATCACGATACAAAAAAAAACTTTCGTTAAAAACTGGAATAAAGTTCCCCATCAATTCCTTAAAATCTTGACAATTGGGTTTCACTTTCATCACAGTCTCATAATGTCAGATTATTATCACAAATTTTTTATATGTCTAAGTCTCGATGGGTTTGATCAAAGACCTCTTGGACATATGTCTTTGTCTGTGATCATGTGAAAATGTTTAGATGAAAAAGATTGGTTTAAGAATTCATGTGTACCTCTATTATTATAGACAAAATAGTAAACTCTTAACTCATGTGAGAAGAGTCAGGTAGCTTATGTGACTAATGTGAATATAAGCCTGTCTTGGGAAGAAATTTTAGTATGAAATATTTATTAAAGCTTTCGTTAAACACACATAGAGTCAGTCGAGAACTGCAAGCATTAACCATTGAGAATCACCTGACCCTAGAACTGCAAGCATTAACCATTGAGAATCAGCTTTGTTACCTAAAATAAAACATGAAAACAATACAATACAAAACAAAATATTTTTGTGATTTTTGATTTTTCGAAAATAAATGAAAAAACAAACAAAAATATCTTTGTTGTTTTTGTGTTTTTGGAAAAGAAATGACAATACAAACGAAATAAAAATCTTTTTGTTGTTTTTGAATTTTTCGCAAATAAAGGACAAAACAAACGAAAAATATTTTGTTGTTTTTCAACTTTTTGAAAATAAAAATTACTTAACGAAAATATTTGAAATGTACTAGACACACGAATTTTCCAGTTTCAATTTACGAAGATGATGGGTAACGAAGCATTGACTATGAACAATAACCGTTGATTTTGACAGCTGTCCCCCGGTATCGCTATTCTTTCGAAATTGAACCCCCTTCGATCATTCCAAGTCCACATAAAATTCTCACAAATGATTTTTCATCTAATGGTTTTATGAAAATATCAGCCAAATAATCAGTGGTTTTCACAAAATGCACTTCAATATTACTATCTTCTACACAATATTTTATGTAATGGTAATGAAGAGCAATATGCTTAGTCTTCGAATGCTTCCCTGGATTATAACAAATACGAATCGCACTTTGAGAATCACAATATAATGGAATTCTTTTCATGTTTATTGCATAATCACACAATTGACTTTGAATCCAAATTATTTGTGATGTGCAAGCAGTAGCAGCTACATATTTAGCTTCAACAGTCGACATTGATACACGTGTTTGCTTCTTTGATTTCCAGCTCACCAATTTCCCATCCAGTAATTAACATCCTCCACTCATGCTTTTGCGATCAAGATTGCAACCTCCTAAGTCAACATCTAAGAAAGCTTGAATAAAGAAACTAGTTTTCGAAGGATACCACAATCCTAACGAAATTGAGCCTTTGAGATAACAAAAAATATTCTTTACTGTAGTACGATGTGGTTCTCGATGATTTGACTGGCACCAAGCACAATTACACACATAAAACATGATATCAGGTCTACTTGCAGTGAGATAAAGTAATGAACCTATCATGCTTTGATAAAGAGTTAAATCAACTGCAAGTTTATCTAACGAAGGTATCAGCCTTGTTCTAGTTGCCATCAATGCTTGTAATTTTGTGTTATTCGTTAATCCAAAATTGAAAGAACATAATTTTGTGGTTTGATCAAGGCATCATTTTGTATAGATGATAGTGTCTTTTCTTGAAGTGATTATGTGCTTTAGTGTGATGTGTGCTGCCACACATGTGTGTGCGGCAGCACACATGTGTTTGGCTGCACTCTCTTGTGCTGGTGTGAGGAGTACTATTTATAGCAACTGAGGTGTGTCAGATTGTACTGATATTGCTGGTGTCAGAACTCTGCTACAGTTGTACTTTTCTCAAGATGTACTTGACATTTACTGAATATAGATGTGTGCATGCTTGATTTTAGTTCTTCTTCTTCTACATATTTCCTTCATTATAATTAACTTCATTGATTACTGAATTGGATCATTAAATTTGGGACTTACAAAAATTTTCAAGCAGATTCTTCGTATATTTTTCTTGGTTGATATAAATTCCTTCTCTGCTTTGACGAATATTTAGACCAAGAAAATTATTAATTTTTCCCATCATGCTCATTTCAAATTTTCTTTTCATCAGATTTTCAAATTCTTTAGACAAACTAGGGTCAGAGCCAAAAATTATATCATCGATAGAAATTTGAACATGCATAAGATGATTCCCAACATTCTTTCGAAATAATGAGGGTCAACTGATCCTTGTTTAAATTTTGATTGTTTTAACAAAGAGGTAAGAGTTGCATACCGGGCTCTTGGTGCTTATTTTAACCCATAAACTGCCTTATCTAAAATATTACAATAATCAGCATGATCTTTATTGAAAAAACTTGGGGGTTGTTCCACATATACTGTTTCTTTGAGTTCTCCACTCAAAAATGCACACTTCACATCCATTTGATATACATCGAAATCTTTTTGAGCTGCATAAGCCTGAAATATACGAACAACCTCGAGTCTTGCAACAGGGACGAAAGTTTCTTCATAGTCTATCCCATCTTGTTGCGAGTAACCTTTTACAGCAAGTCTGGCTTTCTTTCGAATAATGTTTCCATCTTTTTCGGTTTTATTTTTGAAAATCCATTTTAACCTGACAATCAAATTATTTTCAGGGTTAGTAATTAATCTCCGAACCTTATTTCATTCAAACTCAGCCAATTCAGATTGTGTTACAAAAACCCAATTAGAGTGTTCCATTTCATCCTTAATTGTCTTTGGTTTAATTTTCAAAATGAAAACATTGAACATGCAAAATTCTTGATGAGTATTTAATACATCATTCTTTGCATGAAGTTATGCTCGCGTTAAAACTTCATCCTGTGGATTCCCAAGTAGTTGTTCTTTCGAATGATCTTTTGTCCTTTTTTTGAGTGGTGGATAAGCTATATTAAAATCCAAATGTGCATCTTCGAATATTGTTTTGTGAAATTCAGCATTTAGATCAAGACTTATTGTTTCTCTGTTATTTAGATTCTGTTGCTCCCCCTCAACAAGATGCTCCCCCTCAACATCTTCATTAATTCTCCCATTCTCCCCATCAAAAGAATGCCCCCCCCCTCAATTTGAGTATTCATATCAAAGTGCTCCCCCTCCAATGGATTATTTAGTATACTTTCGCCAATTCTTCGAGAATTCGATGTTGAAAAAGTGTAATCTGGAATTTGGGTAAGATCCGATCCCTCATTGTGCTTCGAAGAGTCTAATTGATGATTATCATTCGCAAGAACTTCAACATCTATTTCCCTGTCAGGAACACCAAAAATTAAATCATAATGAAAATCAGATGAATTGATAATTTCAGTTTCATCATTTGATTCATTAACAATTAGCTTTTGTTCGAAGAGTTTGTCAACTTGTTTAACATAATAG